AAAAGGAAGATTAAAAGATTTCCTTTTTCATCCCACAGCTGTTTCATCAGGAAAAGATGAAACCGACACATCAGAGAATTCTCTGACTCATGAGATGGAGACATCTACTCCAGGGAAAGTGGGCAGAACTGTAAATAAAAAGCAAAAATATTGGGAAAATTATTTTTCCCATGGTTTTACAAATGTTACTGATTTACCTTATTGTGTCTTATGCAACATAATGTTTCAAATACTATTATGGCATAAGCTAATTGCAGCATCAATTTGAGACCAATCATGCAGAGTCTAAACAAAAAGGAATTAAATAATTTAAATGTAGATGTGATAAATTAATATCTCATCCACAGAATGAGTACAGTTACACCTTATAACAGAACCTTCTGTGTTGCTTATATTTGTCTGGTATCAGCACCAACTAAGCATGGAAAAAGATCTTTTATGTGAAACTTGGCCACATACACAAGTGATAAGAAATACTTCAAGTATTGAATAATTTATTTTGTTTTTTCTTGGAACAACAGGGCGCTGATAACTGTTTGCACTGATACGGCAAATACAACAGTGGGTAACGCTGCGGATCAAAGGAGGGACTCGTCATCATCGTATTCTTCACTGCCACACATGCACAGTAAGAACACTGCCAATTTTATATAAGAATGTTTGATGAACAGTATAAAATATTGATTTTATTAAATTCTCACTCTGGAGAACATTTTTAAAAATAGATTCTGTATGGTGAAAAGGAAAGTATGCATAAGGCACTTGTGCTTCATCGAAAAACGATGGTCATCTGGAGAAAAGCACTCATCCAACTGTTTGAGCTATGAGCACACCTGATCACTTTTTTTCCCATGGAAATTTACTTGAAAGAATGACTAGCACACAAGCAATGGCTATTCACACTGTGGTATCTGGCACATACTTTCTCAAAAATTAGCAAAGTGATCCAGTCATCTCAAGGAAAACAACTATGTGATAGCATTTGTATCCCATGATAAATTTGAGCTTTTAAGGAGAAATTAGAATCTTGGAAAATCTGTCTGCCAACATGAGCTTAACAGCTTTCCAATACCTACAGATATTTCTGATAAGATTGGTGGTGATAGCCATGATTATAAGTTTTGATATTGTATAGTGTAATGTGTCAACATTTGGAAGATCTGCATAACTCAATGAACCAAGATTCCATTGAGCTATTCCCTAACGAATGATGCATAGACAAAAGATCCATTAAAAGTGCAAAACAGACCCAGAGGTGTTTTTATGTAACAGAGTATGAAAAATTCAGTGATACAATTTCAGATTCCACGTTGCAACTAACCTTTAAAAAATGACCATTTTCAAATTTTGGTGGTATCAAAACAAAATATCCACAATTATCTGAGGTGGCTATTAGAATATTACTGCCTTTTCAAACTACATATCTATGTGGGGCCAGATTTTCTTCATATATTTCAACCAAAATAATATATTCTACCAGATTGAATGCAGAAGCAGATATGAGAATCCAGCTATCTCATACCAGACAATGCAGTTCACAAAAATTGTAAAAATAATGCCACTCTTGTCACATAATTTTTTTTGCCTTGGAAAAGATCACTGTTTTTCATAAAAACATGGTATTTTGTTAACATGTAATTGATTTATTGTATTTCTTTCTTCCTCTCTCTCTCTCTCTTTTTTTTTGAGTCGTGCTCTGTCACCCAGGCTGGGCCTCATCATAGCTCACAGCAACCTCAAACTCCTGGGCTCAAGCGATCCTCCTGCCTCAGTCTCCTGAGTAGCTGGGACTACACGCATGTACCACCACACCTGGCTAATTTTTTTTATTTTTTGTAGAGATGAGGTCTTGCTCTTGCTCAGGCTGGTCTCGAACTTCTGGCCTCAAGCAATTCTCCCACCTCGGTCTCCCAGAGTGCTAGGATTACAGGTGTGAGCCACCACACCTGGCCTGATTTATTATTATTTCTAAATGAAGGAATATTTTAAAAATTTGTTTTAATTTCAAATATGGTAAATATTGATAGGCATACCCACATTAAGAAAAAAAATTCTTGGTATACTCAATAACTTTTAAGAGCTTAAAGAGGTAAGGTGGTCAAAATGTTTGAAAACTGCTGTTGTACAGCATTTCCAACATACTGAAGCATTCTAAGAAAGGAAAAACAAAGTTGGATTATAGGATAAACGAATATCACTTACTGCAAAAATGCCTCATTTACGGCGTCAAAGAACTCAGGCCAGAGGATCTCCTGATGTTCATGTCCATGGTAGATGAGCAGAGCCTCCACCAGGGGTTCAACATCTGGCAGAGTAACAAGTGGGACACAAACTCGTGACAGGGATGTTACTCGTTCAGGAGCCATTCTATGAAAGAAATAAAATAAAATCTTCATGCTCAAAGGTCAATGACAGGTCATCTGTTTTGCCCCTAACATAAGGAGAACTACTCTAACACCCATCTATGAACTCTTCTCTTTTAATCAATTCTCTAGGAAGAAACCCTTTAGCTGCCATTCCCATTTCAATATCACTCACTGTCAGGACTTTGTTCGGTATAGCTATCTACAGACACCTCCAACTTACCATGCCCAAAACAGAACTCTTGAATTCCTTTCCCGAATGTTTTCTTTCCCTAGTGCTCTCTACCTTATTTGCTCAGGCCCAAACCCTGATTCCTCCCTTTCTCTCAAGCCCCTTACCTGATCCAGCAATAAATACTGTCAACTCATCTGACCTCTTCTCAACACTTCCATTACTACCCTCCAAACTGTGGCCTCCACCACTGCCAAGCCTGGGTTATGGAGTGGCCTCCTGTCTTCTTGCTCCTGCACTCATTCCTATGGCTTATGATCAGAACAGTTCCAGCAACTCTTTAAAAACTCAGATCACATCACCTGTCTGCTCAAAGTCTTGCCATGGCTTCCCACCTCATGCAGAGAACAAGCAAGGTCTTACACTGGCCACCAAGGCCTTCCACGGTGGGCCACCTTCTATTTCATTGGCTTCATCTCCTTCCACTCCTCCCTTCGTCTGTTCTACCTCCAACGCCTCCAAATAAGGTCCTGCTGTTCATTCTGCCTGTGACACATGGCTAGCTCCCTCATTTCACACAGGCCATAGCTCAAGGGTTGCTTCAGCAGGTCTTCCCTGATCATCCCACATCAATGTACTGTTCACCATATGCGGCAATTTAAATTTAAAAGAATTAAAATGAAATAAAATTAAAAATCTAGTTCCTCAGTTGCACTAGCCACATTTCAAGTGCTCATTTGAGCTACAGGAGGCAGTGGCTACAGTATGAGTGCAAATTCACACGATGTGTCCATTACCACGGGGAGTACCACTGGACAGCAGAGCTTCAAGCGCTCTCTCACCCTCGCTCCACTTTCTTCATTTGCACTTTTCACCGCCTGACCTGTGAGGTGTTTCCTTGTATCTTGCTTGTGGTCTGTTTCCTCCTACAGGCACTTTTTTCTACTTTGCCCACTGCTCTATTCCTTGCACCTTGAGACAACTCCTTAACACACATTACATGCTCAAGAACTACATATTAAATAAATTGGAGATTAATAAAATGAAAGTTCTGGGTGTAGGCTATTAGATTCTTTCTAGATATTTTCATATATAATCATAAATATAGAAATTTGGTCGTGTGTTTTGTGAAACACAAGTGGTACCACAATATAGAACATATAGCTGTTCCTAGTTTTTTTAAAAAAATTGCTGCCTATTAGAAAATATGTATGTTATACTACTTCCATAAAAAGGAATGAAAATATGTATGTTCTGTAATTTAACAATGTATCTATTAACAGGCACTGAGGTTGCTTCTAATGTTTCACCATACCAAGGCTGCAGTGGTATCCTTGCACGTCCCTAGCTGTGCCCATACAAGTACTTGCATATTAAATTGTCTTCCAAAAGATTGTACCAATTTACTTTTCCACTCTTGCCAATGATATTATTGTTTTTATTTTTTGCTAAATTGGTGGACAAATATTGTTATTCCATTGCTTTAATTTGCATTTTCCTGATAACTTGTGAGACCTAGTAATTGTTACCCACTTACATTTCTTCTTCAGAGAATTTTTTTTTAAATTAGTGTATGTCTGTCCTATTCATTCATTTAATGAATATTTTTTGATCCTTTACAATAGTCAAAGTTCTGTTTGAGGTGTTCGTGATACAGGAGCAAAGATGACAAAGCTTAGTAAGGGAGAGAAACAATAAAATGCCAGATGATATTACGTTTCATGCTGAAAAGTAAAGTACGTTGAGTGGTTAAGAAGTGCCAGGAATTTACTCAGAAGGTGACATTTGAGCAGAGATGTAAAGGAGGTGTATGAACAAACCACATATCTAGGAGAAAAACGTTGCAGGAAGATAAAAAGCAAATGCAAAGGTCTTGAGTATCTGAATACAAGGATGCCAAGGTGGCTCGACCACAGTGAATGTGGGTGGAAGAAGTCAGAGAAGCTTTTGTAGACCACTGTGGGAGGCTTGCATATTCTTTTTTTCTTTAACTTAGACTTTACCTTTATCAAATTTACAGATACAACTATAAACAGTCAAATAGTTCTTCAAAGCTTATGAAAATAGCAGCTTTTGAAAGAGCACTCCCACCCCCATTTTCTGATCTCCATAGAGAACCACTTTCGACCCTAACTAATTCTTTAGTAGTTCATTCAGTGCATTTTTCAATGCAAACTACAACATTGAATTTGCAGTGATACATCCAACAGATTATGGAGAAAACAGAACTCCAGGATGTTTCTGATGAGAACATAGACAAATTGGCACAACCTCTTTGGAGAACAATTGGTAGTACCCTGCTACTATTTCCTCTTATAGGTTAAGGAGACTTAAACAAAACTGTTTGTAAAGGGTAGATTCAATCTTGCTGAACATTTGTGCAGAAATGAATAAATGATTATTTACAGAATGGAATGCTATATGGCAATTTAAATGAACTAGACCTATAGTATCCAACATAAATCTCAAAAATATAGTAATGAATGAAGAAGGAAAGTTGCAAAAAAATTCCACAATATGCCATTACTTACGTAGTTTTAAAACACTCACAGCAATACATACATACATGAAGTAAAGTCTGAAGACTAAACTCCCATCCAAGTACTAGCCAGGCCTGAGCCTCCTTAGCTTTTGAGAAGGACTAAACTCTGATCTTTTTCTTTTGCCCAAATTCCTTTTTCTAAGGGGACCTGGTGAGTCACGCTGACAAATGATAAAATCTCAGTAAACAGGTTTTTATGATGGGGTTTACTTCCTTACCTGATTCTGGTATAGCATCACATGGAAGATAGAAGACCCTTATCTTAACTCAAGCATTCCTTTCCACTGATTCCCGGCCTTTTGGACAAAGCCAGACTCTTTCAGCTAATTGTCAACTAAAGAATCCCTAAATCCACCTATAACTCGTAAGCCCCGACTCTGAGATGGCCCACCTTTTCCGGCCCAACCAATGTATGCCTTCCACGTATTGATTTATGACTTTACCTATAATCCCTGTCTCCCTAAAACGTATAAAACCAAACTGTAATCCAGCCACAGTGAGTCCACTTGCTCAAGGCTTCTTGGGTGTGGCTCTCGGTCATGGTCCTCAAATTTGGCTTAGAATAAACCTCTTTAAATTATTTTACAGAGTTTGGCTTCTTTTTCGTTGACAAGTGTTAAAACATGACAGGAAGAATCTACGTCAATTTCTTGAATGTGCTTACTCCGGGGGGGGGGCAGGGGGGGAGAAGAAATGGAATGGGAGAAGGATGCTTCAACTGTAATTGAAATATTTTATTTCCTTAAAAAGATCAAATATAAATATTAATAGAATGTTAGCATTGTAAAATCTGGGCAATGGACACGCAGTTTTTCTATATGTCTTACGTATTTTATAATTAAACTTTTAAAAACTAAAATACAATGTTACCTAGTAAATAAAATACTAAAAATAAAAAGATGATAGTTATAAAAAAGGAGTTATTTCCTGGCTCTGGTTCTTATTTCCAAAATAGCAAGAGTAGCTCATGAAAAACCTATCACCTCTAATAAGCCTGCGATTGCTTAGTATTTATTTTTCTCTGGAGTATTTTTTCCCTTTATTTATATCTTTTTATACTTTTTTCATGATTCGTACCAGTCTCTTTTCAGATTGTTTCTGTAGAATTATTTGTGCTTTTCATTTTCTCACCTTTGGACAGGAGAAGACAGTTCAAAAAAGCATATAAACTCTCCTGATCACAATTAGCAGAGTCTGCTGGATGATATCAGCTGATATGCTTTTTATAGCTTAAAAACTTCCCTTTGTGCGAGATTGTGCCATTTTGGAAGCAGCTTCATTCCCCAATTCATAATTGTTTCTTTGTTAAGGATGTTTGTTTTTCAAAAACAACATGGAAAAATTCCCTGACACAGAGGAAAGTCCACTAAAGGATGTCCATGCTGGTACTTGGCTGGCAAGAGCAGCAGGGATAAAATGGCAATGAAGTTGGTTAGCAGTTTAGGTATTCCTAGTCAAAGCAAATCTATCATATAATTAGAAAAATTCTTAACTGAATTTACCAAGCATTTGAGATCCCTGTACTAGCAGAATGTCCCCTGGAAACTGACACATCTGGTACATTTCTAATTTGCTCTATTGAATGATGTTTACCAGAGAGTCTTTTCTTTTTCTTTTCTTTAAAGAATTTAGAATTCGACAACATATTATAAATTTTTTCCAGGTACTTTTCTGAATGTGTTGAGCCCATATATAGTTTTTGGATTGAGTTCATTTATACCTATTAGAAGACTGAATTTAAAAAGCAATTTGATGTGTGACATGCTCTTTGAGTCTCTTAATGAACTTTTCTGTTCGGTATCCAGAAAAGAACTTGGACCTCTAAAAGCTTGTGTGAGACTCAGAACTCTTGAGTCTACAGTTCTCTGGTGAATTACAAATTCAACCAAATATGTTTTCTTGTCTCAAGCAGAATGATTTCATGAAACCAGGTAGTGATAACATTCGAAAGACAGCTGCCAAACATGCTGGAGCCATTACAGTTGCTGCAGTCACTAGTTACAATAATATTTAAGATATGTATCATAATACTACATAACTTTCTCCTACATATCTGAAGTTACCTGTACATTTTTACGATGTACAAATCAAAAAAGTTGAATCAGAATACGGCATAGTGGGCAAACTGCTTGCTTAAATCCAGGATATTCCCATCCATTTATGAATCTGAGTTTTATCATTCCTTTCCTTTCACTGGTGTGACTTCAGATGTTCAAGCAGCCAAAAACACTCAAACTTAAGTACTGTAATGCTATGCTATTTTGCTGTTTTTCTCCTTCTAAAAGGCATC